ATCTCAATGCTTTTGAAATATGGTTATTTTTTAATCCCATGCTTGACTCTACCCTCCTCCTACGCTTACATGACTCCTCCAATCCATTTTCCACACGAGGGAGATCTAATTTCCAAATGTGACCATTTCATTCTCCCCCTGCTCAAAACCCTTTAGTGCTGCTGCACGACTCACAAGATTAAACCAAAATTTCTAGACCCTCCGGCTTTCTCATCCATCTCTGGGACTCTTGCTTCCCTTTCTCACAGCACCGAGCATTGCACTGTGAGATCTTAGAGAACACTCGTGAGAACACAAACTACTAGTCATTTATGAAACTTCTCCTCCATCAGGCCACCCAGCTGAAGCCTAGCAGGAGGGAAAACTTAGGGAATAGCTGGTGATGATTCCCATGCCTGCTGGCCAGAAGACAGTGATGATTCTGCTTGCTGTGGCCAGAATCTGATAGCCCATTTCCAAATCTTGCTTCAAAGGTTGAACAAAACTGAGAAACTCAACCATGCTAGCCATTATCAACCCATTCCTCCCACAGCAGCCTGGATATGAAATGGCCTTCGATCTTCTTCGCAACAGTAAATTCTTCTTCTTTGCAGTTTAATCATTTTTGTGAAATGTAACGTTTTGACACTGTTAACAGTTATTCCATTGTTCCCAACCTTATCTCAGTATGTGATTCAAGTCAGGGAGGCACCACAGGTTCCAGGCAGAATTTGGTCCATAAAAACAGCCCAGCGCTCTCCTTTCCCTTTCCCTCCCCTTCTTCTTTCCAAGATGTGTTCTCTTAGCCTTGCTTTTTCTCCTGAGTTCCAAGGGCCCTTCTTTTGCCTCTGTAACTTGTTTCCTGAGCCCATATCTTTTACCACTCACTTCTACCTCGGTGGCTTTCTAAGTAAACTTTCTCTTATTACAAAATAGCCCTGCACATCTGCTACCAAAAAATCAAGTGAACCAAACAAGATGGCGGCAGAGGCAAACACCTGAACTTGCTGCCTCGCACAACCACCTCAAAACTACAACTAACACACAAAGCAAACATCATCCAGAACCACAGGAAGGCTGGCTGAGTGGAAATTCTACAACAAAAGGAAAAAGAAAAGCACACAAAGCCACTCTATCAACTCAGTGAAGCAGCAAAAATGTGGAGACAAAGAAACAGGTCACAAATTAAAGAACTGGAGGAAAGCAAACTACAGGATAGAGAGTTCAAAACCATAGTTATAAGGTTACTCAAGAATTTTTTAGAAAAGGCTGATAAATTTAGTGAGACCCTCGAGGATATAAAAAAGGACCAACTAGAAATTAAGCATACACTGATTGAAATAAAAAATAATATACAAAGATCCAACAGCAGACTAGAAGAATGTAAGAATCAAGTCAAAGATCTGAAATACAAAGAAGCAGAAAACACCCAACTGGAAAAGCAAAAAGCAAAAAAAATCCAAAACTATAAAGATGGTGTAAGGAGCCTCTGGAACAACTTCAAGCATACCAACATCCGAATTATGAGGGTGCCAGAAGAAGAGAGAGAGCAAGATACTGAAAACCTATTTAAATAAATAATAACAGAAAGCTTCCCCCACCTGGTGAAAGAAATAGACTTACAACTACAAGAAGCGCAGAGAACCCCAAACAAAAGGAACCCAAAAAGGACCATATCAAGACACATCATAATTAAAATGCCAACAGCAAAAGACAAAGAGAGAATATTAAAAGCAGCAAGAAGCCAAAACTGATTTGGCTCAGTGTATAGAGCATTGGCCTGCGGACTGAAAGGTCCCAGGTCCGATTCCAGTCAAGGGCATGTCCCTTGGTTGCGGACACATCCCCAGTAGGGGTGTGCAGGAGGCAGCTGATCAATGTTTCTCTCTCATCAATGTTTCTAGTTCTCTATCCCTCTCCCTTCCTCTCTGTAAAAAATCAATAACATATATTTTTTTTAAAAAGGCAGCAAGAAAAAACAGATACCTACAAAAAAGCACCCATATGACTATCAGCTGATTTCTCAACAGAAACTATGCAGGCCAGAAGGGAGTGGCAAGAAATATTTAAAGTGATGAATAGGAAAAACCTACAACCAAGATTACTCTACCCCGCAAAGCTATCCTTCAGAATTGAAGGTCAGATAAAGAGCTTCACAGATAAGAAACAGCTAAAGGAGTTCATCACTACCAAACCAGTATTATATGGAATGCTGAAAGGTATTCTTTAAGAAGAGGAAGAAGAAAAAGGTAAAGATAAAAATTATGTACAACAAATACATGTCTATCAACAAGTGAACCTAAAAATCAAGTGAATTAAAAATCTGAGGAACAGAATAATCTGGTGAATAAATAGAATTAGGGGCATAGAAAGGAGTGGACTGAAAATCCTCAAGGGGAAAGGAGTGTGTGTGTGCATGGGGGGGTGGTACAGGAAGTCTGGACAAAAATCATACACCTATGGATGAGAACAGTAGGGGGGGGGTCAGGAGAGAGGGGGTGGGAACCGGGTGGATGGGAGCTATGGGAGGAAGGAGGAAAAAAGAGGAATACCTGTAATAATCTGAACAATAAAGATTTAAGAAAAAGAAAAAAATCAAGTGAACCTAACTCTTCAAAATTACAAAACCCATCACTTCATTGAAAAGATGTGATTTTTAAAAGATAAAACTGAATTCACTATTTCATTTTTAATGATACATCAAATAAAACCACTAGGGAATAATTACCTTTGAACAGATATTTTAAAAGATCTAAGTCATGTGAACAACAGCTTCATGAGGCTTTCCCCTTCCATCTTGTTTTCAGTTTACACTCTAAGCCAATACCACTTGGCTTCATGCTAATGAGCTTTGCTTCTAAGGCTAAAATAAAACAATGAGTAAGAATATTTATTATGTGAAAAGTTACAAGTATGTAAGAGACTTCTCTAGGATGGATCATTCAGCCAAATGATTTGACATGTCCAACATAAATAACTTTGTTTTGTTAATGCTAACTCCAGGACATTTTTTTCCCATTGTTTGTTTTGTTTTGTTTTTAGAGAGAGAGTGGAAGGGAGAGAGGGAGGCAGGAAGAGAGACAGAGAGAGAGAAAGAGAGAGAGAGACAGAGAGACAGAGAAAGAGAGGCTGTCTTACATATGTGCCCCGACTGGGGCTGGGGCTTGAACTTGCAACCTAGGTACATATCCTTGACCAGGAATCAAAATCGCAACCCCTCATTGTATGGACTGTTGCTCTAACCACTGAAGATACCAGCTAGGGCCAACATAAATAACTTTCAAAGCACTTAGGAAGGAGGGGAACTCAGTGTGGCTCTAAAGATATATGTATCCAGTATGTAATGGTAGTTGCAACAAAATATCTTAATTCAGTAAAAATTTACCTGGCAGTTAAAAGGAAAATTCCTATTGAAATCTTTGAATTTATACTCTTATCTCTCTACTCCACAGATGAAAGTCCAATAATAATAATTTCAAATGTGCTGCCCTGGCCAGTGTGGCTCAGTTGGTTGAGCATCACCCTGTGCACTGAAAAGTTGCCAGTTCCATTCCTGGTCCGGGCACACGCCCAGGTTGTGAGTTTGACTGCCCCATAGAGGTGTGCAGGAGACAGCCGACCCATGTTTCACTCACACGTCAATGTTTCTCCCTCCCTTCCTCTCTCTCTCCTTCTCTTCTACTCTAAAAATCGATATTAAAAAATATACATTAAAACATATTTTCAAGTGTGCTGTTAAATTTGCTAAATGCAAACATTCAGCAAATACGATGCTCTATTTGCAAAGTTAAGCCTGCCCTTGATAGGAAATGCTAGAGGTAGAGTCACTGTTTTTTTTGTTCAACATGTGTAGATTTCTGTTGGCTTTTCACTCTCTACAAGTAAATCATCACTCCCTGATCCTGTACATGTCCTATTTGACAGACTATCTGAATTAAATGTTGTGCTTCCATCTGTCAAATGCCTAATAAGTTAATTATTAGGGGTAGAAATCTATTGTTTCGTTTATTATTTGTTTCCTGCTAAGACAGCTGAAACATTGGAAGCACAAAAACCGGAGGTGGTGACGGAAATAACGGTCCTGTTATCAGCAGGAGAATGACAAGCTCGCCCCCTGGTGACAAATTAGGAAGATAATAGAAAAAGCAAAGGGTCCTTAAAAGAAAAGGCACAACCACTGAAGAACATCATCTCTACCCAGAACGTGGAGAGGACACCAGTAACAAAAATATTAATCAAAATAGTTTATTCACAGGAACAGTTAAAAAGGTTCTGTTCTGAGGGACAAAGTGTGTACAAAACCCTTGCTTACAAATCCCTACCTGAAGCTGCCTGGGGAGTGACCTGCTTCCTCAGTGTGATCAGCAGTACCGAGCAGTGGACTGGGGATGCTAGGCCACTCACTGTGATGGTCTCCGCTGAAGGAGGGCTTGTGACATCCTCTTTAGCAACCCTGAAACATAACGACGTTTGGCCTTCCAGATCTCCATGAACGAACTGAAAAAATGTGACTCTAACGGCAGAACTAAAGCCCACACCAAGGATTACATAAGCCAGAGGGTGGCAGTCGTGACTGTTCTTAGCTCCTTAAGCCCTCTATTATGTAAATCAAGATACTTCCTGATGTTCAAGCCTCCCAACTAAAATAATGATGATGATGATGATGATGACGATGATGTCTCATTCCTTCTGGCCCTGCGGCTGCTAATTTTTCCAATCTCCTGCTCTTCGTCTCCAGCCCCCCAAACACCTCCGGGGCTCTCTAGTATGCCGTTTTTCAGAGCTGTAAGAGGCTGAGATCAAAAACCCCGTTACATGTGGGTCTCTTTTAGAGATCACACCAGTTAAAGAAATAAACACTTCAGGCTACATCCCACTAGGTGACACTCCGGGGCAATGGGGGTATGTAACCGGGGCTACTGATACCAAGTCCCGAGTCTTCCTGCCGCGGCAGGTGGGTCTCTGAGGGCTGCATCGGGAAGAGGAGGTGCCGGCATCTGCTGCACAGGAGGGGGGCCGCGCTACCCGAGCGTCAGCGGCTGGACATTTTTCTGCTGTTCTTTATGCAGTTTCATGGCCCTGTTTTTTAGTGCCTCGGCCTTGGCTTCATCCTTAGCGACGCCATCCCCCAGCTTGTGCATGCGGCTGGCGTTGGCGCAGGCCCAGACGTGGCCCAGGTCACAGGCTTTCATGGTGTATTTGTACGCGAGGCCCATGTCCTTGGGGAAGCCGGGAGCGCCCTGCAGAAACATGGCGCTGAGGTTGAAGCAGCTCGGGGCATAGCTGCCTTCACAGGCCCTCGTGTAATAGTCCCTGGCCGTCCCCAGGTCGGGCTGGCCGTCGCCATTGACCTGCCCATCGTGTGCCAGGAGACCAACATTGTGACAGGCCTCCACAGACTTCTTGCCGGGCTTCTCACACGCCATCAGAAAGCAGCTGAAGGCAGCTTTCAGGTCCTGGGTCAGTCCGCCTAGGAGTTAGGAAAGAGAAGAAAAAAGTAAATCCAAGCCAGAATGTCTCAGGCCAAAGTTAGGGAACAATTTCTGAATAAAAAACACATTCCACAAGTTAAAGCAACACGAAAGGAAGGTGGACTGGTACAGTGCACAGGCCCACCAGCTTTTTTAGCCATGGAGCCTGGTTAAAAGGAGGCCTTACAAGGCAGAGCTGTCTCCAAGGCCCCCTTTTCTCTGACTTCCTGGGCTTCCACCTAGACACTTTGATTGCTTTTTTTAATCCTCATTGGAGGATATTTCTCCACTGATTTTTAGGGAGAGTGGGAGGGAGGGAAAGACAGAGAGAAACACTGATGTGAGACACAACACATCGACTCGTTGCCTCCTGTATGAGCCCAAATACTCTGCGGGTGTGCAATCCAAAGTAACTTCTGCAGCAACCAATCTAACCAGACTGTTCAAATTGATAGAATGTTTTACAGTTTAACAAAGCAGTCATAGCTATTCTCATATGATGCACAGAAAAAAACCCTCAAAGAAGGTATGAGCAGACCTTATTACTTGTAATTTCGTCAGTGAGGAATTTGTGGCTCAGGGAAGGAAAATGCTTTGCCTGATGTCACATCAGCTAAAAGTGAGTTCTTTGGCTTTCCATTCTTTCTCCTGCCCACCTAGCCTTGGTAAAAGGAGAGTTATTAACTACCGTGTTTCCCCGAAAATAAGACATCCTCTGAAAATAAGACCTACTTACAGGTTTCCTTCTGAGTGAAATATAAGGCATTCCCCAAAAATAAGCCCCCCCCCCCCAGGCTAAACATGAGAGATTTGGTTCACTGATTCTGAAAGAAATGGAGTCACAAGAAATTCACCCGGAAATTCAGGAATTGGATTGTTATGATGATGTTCCAGAAGATGATGACATGATTGTCATTGAATAAATGAGTAAATTCTCAAACTGTAGGATTCACAGTTTGTCTGGTTTGTGTTGATAACTACCGTACTACCGTACCATATACAGGTAATAAATTTCCTTTATTTCCATTTAACAATAAATGTGTACCGTATTCTTCTTCATGGAAAAATAAGACATTCCCTGAAAATAAGACCTAGTGCATCTTTGGGAGCAAAAATTAATATAAGACACTGTCTTATTTCGGGGAAACAGGGTAGTCTGTGTCAAGAAAGAACACCGGGCGTGTTTTCAGGAACAGAGGGCAAGACCAAAGATTATAAAATCCTTTATCTCAGAAGTACGCAGGAGGAGCCAACAGTACTGGCTTTTAGACTTGGCAGGGCTCAAAGTTTAATAAACAGCAAACCAAAAGGGCTTGAGTAGCAAAGATCTATTAATGGGACCACTTTGACTTACAACACCAACAGAAATTTATTTAAGAATGTTAGTGTAACAGAGGATTAATTCTTGTTCTCTACCACTCTTTTTCAAATAAAATTTTTTTTTATTGACTTCAGAGAAGAAGGGAGAGGAAGAGAGAGATAGAAACATCAATAATGAGAATAATTGGCCAGGACCGGTTTGGCTCAATGGATAGAGCGTCGGCATAGGGACTGAAAGGTCCCGGGTTCGATTCCAGTCAAGGGCATGTACCTTGGTTGCGGGCATATTTCCAGTAGGGGGTGTGCAAGAGGCAGCTGATCGATGACTCTCTCTCATCGATGTATCTAACTCTCTCTCTTCCTTCCTCTCTGTACAAAAATCAATAAAATAAAAATTAAAAATTAAAAAAAAAATAATGAGAATAACTGACTGGCTGCCTCCTACACACCCGCACTGGGAATCAAGCCCACAACCTGGGCACGTGCCCTGACGGGGAACTGAACTGTGACCTCCTGGTTCATAGGTCGATGGGCTCAACTACCGAGCCATGCCAGCCCGGCCTGCTCTCCTTCCCTTTTCCCTCTCCCCTCCCCCTCCCCCTCCCCCTCCTCCTCCTTCTTCTTCTTCTTCTTTTTAAAGAAATTTATTGTTTTATTATTTTTAAATTATTTTTTAAAATACTGTTATTTAATTTTTAGAGAGAGAGAAGAAGGGAGAGGGAGAGAGAAACATTAATGTAACAGCAAAACATCAATCAGCTGCCTCCTGCACCTCCCCCTACTGGGGATCCAGCCCGCAACCCAGGAATGTACCTGACGAGGAATCAAGTCAGCAACTTTTGGTGCATGGGATGATGCCCAACCAAATGAGCTATGCTGGCCAGGGCATCTACCATTGTTGTTGTTTTCCCACACCTGCTCACCTTCTTTCTGCATGGGACCTAACTCTAGTCCACCTCTACCAAAAAAAATCTACTCTGTCCTTGAAACACCAGCTTCGATCCCCCTCCTCTCTGACAGCACCCCTAATGATGACACTGTCCCAGCATGAAACAGTCTCTCTCTGAAGATGCCTCCCAAGCTCTCCTAGGTATAACAGGTATTAGTGTAAATGTGTCCCCTGCCCCCATACACACTGGTCATGTTTAATTCTTGTTTCACTGTAGATAGCAAATACTAAAAGTATGTCAACAAAGGCTCAGTGCACAATTATTAATCATATAACCTGTATAATAAGCCTGTCTTCCCTTAATTCAATAAGGAACTCAAAGTCTCTGTGGAAAATATAGTAAAATGTGGTATCAAGACAAAAATAATCCAAAACTTTACCAGGACACAAATCCAGAGACATTTTTGGTTTTTCACACTATATTATATAGCTGAATTTATACCATATATAATTTTGTACTCTGCTTTCTTCACTGAATATTATAAGTTTTCCCCACATGAACAAAATTTTTTAGAAACCTCCGCCCCCCCCCCCCCCCCCCCCCCCAGAAAGGAAGGGAGAGAGAAAAATAGAAACATCAATAATGAGAGAAAAACAGCCGGGACCGGTTTGGCTCAATGGATAGAGCGTCGGCCTGCGGACTGAAAGGTCCCGGGTTCGATTCCCGTCAAGGGCATGTACCTTGGTTGCGGGCATATCCCCAGTAGGGGGTGTGCAAGAGGCTGATTGATGATTCTCTCTCATGAATGTTTCTAACTCTCTATCCCTCTCTCTTCCTCTCTAAAAAATCAATAAAATATATTAAAAAATAATACCTAATAACAATGAGAGAAAAATAGAAACATCAATGATGAGAAAAACAGAAACATCAGCTGCCACCTGCATGTCTCCCACTGGGGACCGAGCCCACAACCCAGGCATGTGCCCCCAAATGGAGTCAAACCCGGGACCCTTCCGTCCGCAGGTCAATGCTCTATTCATTGAGCAAAACCAGCCAGAAACATTTTTTAATATGCTAAATAACATTCCATCCAATGGAAGATATTCATTTAAGCTGCTACTGTTGATAGACAAGTTGTTTTTTTTAATTAATATAATGCAGTTATGTACTGCTTATACACTATAAATTAATGATAAATTTGCCAGATGAATAATGCTGGGGTGAATATCTTTGCACATGACCTTTATTTACATTTTTACTTATTTCCTTAGGTTAGGATGTTAAGAAAATTACTAAGTTAAAGGAACTCCCCTCTGCATCAGAAGAGAAACTGATATTCTTGATGATGATAAACTTTCATCAAAATAGGGACTACCACAAACCCAATGTCCCACGTGAAAGCAGAAATAATCTACACAGCTCCAGAGAATTGAAAAGACATCTGCCTCATCAAACTTTCGCTGAACAACTCTCCAACCAGGCTTGGGCACAGGGAACAAAGGATAAATGAATCATCTTCAAGAAACTCATGATCTGGTGAGCAAAAAAAAAATAGCTGCCTGTCAAAGGTCTTATTCCCTATTTTGGTGGTTTTAATATGTCCATAAATTCTTAGATATGCCTGGTTTTGAGAGGTGGACTTTTAAGTTCTCTCTCCTTAATGTGGACTAGACTTACTGACTCACTTTTAATAAATAGAATGTGATGGGAATGAAATATGTGTGACATCTGAGGGTAGGCCATTGAGGATTCATCAAAAGACATTGAGGATTCCTTCTTGCTCTCTCTCTTGGATCACTCACTCCGGAGGAAGCCAGAGCCATAGCATGAGGACACAGAGAGAGATACATGTCACAAGGAACTGAGGTCACCTGATATCAGCTGGCCAGGAGCAGAAGGAAGTATTTCCATGAGTAAGTCATCTTAAAATGGGAAAATCCAGTTCCAGTCAAGCCTTCAAATGACTGCACCCCTAACTCCCTGGCTAATGTCTAAAAAAATCACGAGAGACCCTAAGGTACACAGCTAAACTTATCCCAAATTTCTGACCCACAGAAACTATGTGAAGTAAATTTGCTAGAATAATTTGCTATTTAGAGTCAAAAGCTTAAAAACTACTCCAGTAATGACTGCAATGGGGCATGAGGAGAAAAGACAGATGAAAGGGAATTAGCCATTATTGATCCCCTCCCCTGGCCCAGGCATGTGCTGATGAAGCACACTAATCCCTCCTTTGGAAAAACTGCTGTTTGGAATCCTCTGCTATTAGATAGCCCCTTGTACTGTAGTCAACTCTGTTATTTTTAGACAGTCTCTTATTCTGTGAAATGACTTTGCTTTTTTTAGCTTGAATAATAGAGAAGATAAACTCAACTGTCTGACCTTGCAAGCTAGCCATCTAACCTCAGGGGCTGACACTGATAACACTCCCATGTTTTCATGCCAGGTGTTTATGTTTGCTAGATATATGTCCAAGGTTATAAGCAGTCTGCAAAAATAACTTACACAGAGCTCTGTGTAAAGTCTGCAAAGAGCTAGAAAGGTATAAATAGGAGCAGCTTCCTCCATGCTTTTGCTCAGAAATGTGGGAGACGTCTCCCTCTGGCGTTAATAGACTCCTCATGAATTGGCTCACTAAGGCGCCTTCTGTCAAGCCCACTGATGTACAACACTTCATCCTTTTTAATCCTCACAAAATCCCTATGAAGTATGTTACAAGTGATGTAAAAGGCACAGAGGTTAGGTGACTGGCTCAAGATCCCACTCGCTACTTGCAAATCACATTCCCCAAGGTTTGCCTCACTTAAAAGGCTGTCCTCTTCCCCTCACCACCCTGCTGAACTCATTTCCAAATCTTCCGGCCACGTGCTCCCCCAATGCCTGTGAGGACCCTTCTGCAAAGAGGGCTCAGTATGTGGTCAGCACGACCATCACTGACAAGTACCAAGGAAAGAGGCCCTCCATGCCGAAGCCGGTTTGGCGCAGTGGATAGAGTGTCGGCCTGTGAACTGGAAGGTTCTAGGTTCGATTCCGGTCAAGGGCATTTACCTAGGTTGCAGGCACATCCCCAGTAGGAGGTGTGCAGGAGGCAGCTGGTTGATGTTCCTCTCTTATCGATGTTTCCAGCTCTCTGTCCCTCTCTCTTCCTCTCTGTAAAAAATCAATAGCCGAAGCCAGTTTGGCTCAGTGGTAGAGCGTCGGTCTGCGGACTGAAAGGTCCCAGGTTCGTTTCCGGTCAAGGGCATGTACATTGGTTGCGGGCACATCCCCGGTAGGGGGTGTGCAAGAGGCAGCTGGCCGATGTTTCTCTCTCATCGACGTTTCTAGCTCTCTATCTTTCTCCTTCCTCTCTGTTAAAAATCAATAAAATATATATTTTTAAAAATCAATAAAATATATTTTTTTTATAAAGAGGCCCTCCTTACCTTTTCCGGTCACATAATAGGCCCCCAGCTTGTAGCAGCTCTCGCTATGCTTGTAATCTTCACAGTTGAACTTCAACACTTTGGCAGCCTCATCAAAATTCTTCTGGATCCCTTCCAAGTAGTCCACCAGCCGATAACAGCCTGTGAAAAGAGGACAAGAGCTTTACTTCACTGTCCGGGGCCATGGCTTCGCCGTAGGGAGGGTCACGGTGTGACAGGCCAGATGTGTCTTCCACTCAGGACCGGCCTCTGTTCTCCTGAGGCGTGACGAGGAAGGCAGGGAGGAAGGAAGGTGGTGTCTAGCATCCCCACAAAGGCACTGTCTGCCCTTGGGCAGGGTCTGAGCGATGTGAAGGACTGGGGAGACCTTGGCCCTGCACGGACTCCTCCTCTCACCAGCCCTTCTGCTCTGCCAGCCAGGCCGGCCCAAAGCCACCGTGACTCCCATAATTGAAACTCTGCTTCTTGGGAAATTCAGTCGTCAAACACAGAAAACCAAACAGGTCCAGAGGCTAATCTTTTTTTTTTTTTTTTTAATATATTTTATTGATTTTTTTACAGAGAGGTAAAGAGAGTGATAGTTAGAAACATCGATGAAAGAGAGACATCAATAGTGCCCGCAACCAAGGTACATGCCCTTGACCGGAATCGAACTCAGGACCTTTCAGTCCGCAGGCCGATGCTCTATCCACTCAGCCAAACCGGTTTCGGCCATAGGCTAGTCTTTGTAGCAGCAAGAAAGGGGTGTTTCGATGACTGTACCTAACCCCTCAGCCAGGCTCGAAGGTGAAGTCTGACAACAGAGTAGAAACAGCAGCCACCAAAGGAGCTGGAAATATACTCTCTGTCCTGGGCAGGCTCCAGTCCAGCAAGCCTCTCAGTAACATCTCTCCCCCGTCCCTTCTTCCTCCCCAATAACACCCATCTCTCATTCATTTCCAATCGGACGATATTTGACCATCTATGTTCCTCTATGCACAAAACACTGCACTATCCCAGAAGCAGGGAATACAGACAATTGCCCTCCTAAAAATTACATTCTAGGGGAGTAAACACAATAAATAAGTAAATAGGTGAGCAAGATACATTCAAATAGTAATAAGTGTTACGACTGACATGAAACAGGATTATAAGATAGTTTGCTGTGCATGTTGGGGGAATGGTTAACAGGTGATCAGGGAAGACCAATTCCTTCTGACCTACACCAGAAATCTTTCCCAACCATCTGCTCCTCAAGTAACTCTCCTGTGAATTCTCTCTACACTTAGGACATGGAGCAGCTCTCGAAGAACAACCTTGGGTTCTTTTTAAGACTTATATAATACAGAGCAACTCTGCATGGTTGATTAGCATTTAAAAAATAGCAATATCGCCCTAGTTGGGTTGGCTCTGTGGTTAGAGTGTTCGCGGGCACACTGGGCTTGATTCCCAGTCAAGGGCACGTACCTGGGTTGCAGGTTCAGGAGCAACCAATGGATGTATCTGTCCATAACCGATGTCCCCCACCCCCTTCCACTCTCTCCAAAAGTATCAATGGGGAAAACAAACAAAAAAAGAGTTATATCATGTTCTGGAACTAGGCTGCAAGCCGTTATAAGGTAGGGCCAGTGCCATTTTTTTTTTCCTCTATAAAAATAAAGTAGGAAGCCCTGGCCAGTGTGGCTCAGTTGGTTGGAGTGTGCATCTGTATACACCAAATGGAGGTGGGTTCCATTCCCAGTGGGGGCGCTTGCAGGAGGCAGCCAATCAATGTTTCTCTCTCTCTTTCTCTCTCTAAAATCAATCAACCAATAAATAAGTAAAGTAGGAGGAAGAAAACCACCCAAAGGCACTGGATTCTCTGAGTGGCCCTTTCTGGACACCACCATTCACCCCACACTCAAAAGTCAACTCAGTGTTCCCAGCACCCACAGGGCACTTTCATGTCCGAGGTCCTTGCCACTCACAGATCCCTCCGCCTGGCAGCGATCTCCCTTACCTTTCTCCACGCTTAGTCCAAAGGCCATTTTCTCAGTGACCCCACCCCCCCACCCCCCGACGACTCCATTTAAAACTGCCCTCCATAATTCCCGACACCGCCTGGTCACTTCTTCCCATTGCACTGACTATTCTCTAACACACTGTTTCGTTTATTTCCTTATGTGTATTGTCCAATTCCCACCCCACCTCCACTAGAATGTACGCTCCATGAGGACAGGGAATTTTATCTGTTCCCTGATATGTCCCCAGTCCCTCTACTCCAGTGGTCGGCAAACTCATCAGTCAGCAGAGCCAGATATCAACAAAACAACGACTGAAATTTCTTTTGAGAGCCAAATTTTTAAAAGTTAAACTATATTGATAGATATATTGCTATTAACTTAATTAGGGCACTGCTAAGCTGGCCTTTGCTAAAAACTCAAGGGACCAAAGAGCTGCATGTGGCTCGGGAGCCGCAGTTTGCCGACCAGCGCGTCTACCCCAAGTGCCCTAGCATTTCTCCTTCCCGGCCGGCCTCCAGGGTGAAGCCGGCGGAGCCCCGCCCCACGGCGAGCGCGGAGAGTCCCCCTGGAACCCAACACGCGCAAGGTCGCCACTGACCCATCCCGCCCGCCGAGCCCCGGGGCGGGACCGCTCCCAGATTCCCTTGGAGGTCGCTCACGTGACCTTCCGACCCCGGCCCCTCCCGCAAGCGCTCCCACGTGTTCCCAGGCCGCGCCGGCGGCGCGTACCATCCGGGTCCTTCTCGCGGTAGCACGAGTAGTTGCATTCCACCTCCATGTTCTCCAGAAACGATTTCACCTGCTCCTCGTCCTGGAAGTCCACCAAGCCGGCCATGGTTCCAGCTCGCCCGGATGAGCTTAACCTGTCGCTCCAGCCCAGGCCAAGCGGACTCCAGCCCCACGGTCCCGGCAGCCGGCGGAGGGGCGGGGCCTGGGCGGACGCGCCGCGGAGGTCTGCGCGCGCCCGCTCAGCTCATTCGCTGGGGCCTGGGCGGGGCCTGGGCGGGGCCTGGGCGGGGCCTGGGCGGGGCCTGGGCGGGGCCTGGGCGGGGCCTGGGCGGGGCCTGGGCGGGGCCTGGGCGGGGCCTGGGCGGGGCCTGGGCGGGGCGCGCCGCTGCGGAGGTCTGCGCACACCCGCCCAGCTCATTCTCTAAAGCCAGTCTTCACACTTTTAGTCTTTGGCGTTCAAATCTTTTCCTCTGGTGCTTCCATTCCTAAAACTGATGGCAGTCTTTCTGCAGCACTTTATCTGTGCCAGCTTTGTGGCCTTAAGTCACTTTCTGCCTGTAGCCTCCCCTACATTCATCAGTTCCATAATCTCTAAGGGCCTACTGTGTGCCTCACCAAGTGCTTCCTTCTAGTAACTCAACAGCTAGGAAGAATGGTCCCTGCATTTAAATAGCTTGCAGTTTAGTAGGAAGACATTTATTTATTCAGTCAACAAGCAATTTGAGCACCTTCTAGATATAAGTCTGTACAATTGCAATAAGAAGTCTGGTTCATCTCTATATTCCTCCCAGACCCACCCCCTGCTCCCAACATGAATGACCAAGGCTGTGCTGGGTGATGACTGGAACACAATAGCCGTAGAAGTTGTACAAATAATATTGTTGTGATAGCTAATGTTTAAACAGGGTTGAACTTTGTTCCAAATTCTATTCTAAGAGCATTATACAAATTCTCATTTAATTCTCACTGTGACACTCCTTGTGACATTATAGGGTAGGTATTATTATATTCCCATTCTGCAAATGAGAAAGCTGAGGTGCATACAGGTTAAGTAACTTGTCCAAGGTCACACAAGAAGTGAGAGAGTTGTTGTAAATATTTTTTAAGTAAAAGAATGGATGAATTACATGAGGAATGTGTCAAGGAGATGGGGAAGAGGAAAGGAACTTTTTTTATTTGTTCTGCTCAGAATCATCAGCTTCATAAAGCCTAGACTGAAAGCTCTCCAAAGATGGTCCCTATTAGCCTACCCCTACTGGCATCAAAGAGTGTACAACTTCCAAACACTTCCTCATTGGGAAGCAACTTACTGCCACTGGGAAACGTCTTTCTTTTCCTTTTCTTTCTTTTTTTTTTTTTTTTTGAAATGTCTTTCAAATACCAGTTTTATTTTAAAATTCATATTACTTTACATCCAATTCCACAGTACATCTTTTATAAAAAGAAAACAAGATTGCCTTTTCTTCAAGCCTTTGAATAAAATTGAAATTCCAGGCGATATGCCACATTTACCTGTGGTTTCTCAAACCCTGATCACAGTGGGAGATCCCTCAGTACACATGCCCCGGGTAGGGAAGGCTGACTTCGGGTTTTGAGCCCACCTTCCTTAGCCTGGCCTCTAAGGTCATCTACAATCTGATTCTAGCCTCATCTCCTGCCTCTGTTCCTCCACACCCCACCCAATCTTCTATTCTCTGAATAGGTCTCAACTTTGTGCCCTGTTTACTGCTGCTCTTGATGTGTGGACCACCCTTCTCTGCCCAAATCAGAGATCGTCTCCTCTGTAAAATAGGTTTGATGTTCCCACTCAGTGTTTCACACCATTCGGTTTATCCCATTATAATGCACTGGAAAGGACTGGCTTCGGAGGGCAGACAGATCTAAGTCAGAATCCATTGTGACCTTGAACCAATTACATTTGTGAACCTGATTCCTTTTCTATAAATGCGGATCCCTTGTATGGCTGTCAGTAGGACTACAAGTTCGTGTATGCAATGTGCTTAGCAGAGTGCCTGGCTCAGAGTCATTTCTGTTCCAGAAGTATTTCTTGTCATGCTCATAATAGCTATATAATGCCTTAAAAGTCTGTGTCCCCCCACTACACTGTGAGCTCTATGTCCCTTGTGCTGGTCACAAGGCCAAGAATAAAGCAAGGTGTGGCGAGGGTGAGATAGGTAACTAAGGTCAGGGGCAGGCCATAAATATGGTAGTACTTTCTCTTAATCCTACTTGCTTAGCTGAAATGAGAACACCTGAGCAGTAGAGGGCACTAGAGAGTTGGAGAAAAAAGGTGGAAGAGAGGCTGGGCCAAGTATGAAATCACATATTTTAAAAAGAAATTTAAGGTTATTACAAAGGCAGCCAGCTTCCTTTACTAGTCCTGTTCTTATCTCTGTAGTTTTATTCTCCCTATTCTTAGAAGTTTTCACATTTACTGTTTTTGTGGCCAGATGATTTCATTTATTTCTGGAATAAAAAATAAATAAATAAATAAATAAATAAATAAATAAATAAATAAATAAATAAACAAGCAGAACGGAAAAGTAGATACTGAGAACATTTTGGCAGTTATTTTTTATTCAAATAATACACTTGAATAAAAATGTATGCTTATTGTAAATTAATCTTATGCGTTTAGCCCTTTTTGATAAGCATGATGCTATCTGTACACACTGTTCAGACTGTTGCAGAGAAATGAAGGGTCAAAGAAATTAAGTGACTTACCCAAAACACACAGTGAGAAGATCTAGAGAAACCAGCTCCCTTGGAATCTTAGAGTTCACAGCAATCATTCCGGATCGTGAAGGGGAAGAAATCAAGAGCATTAGAGCACTCACTTCCTGACTCCAGACATAGATTAAATTGATATTAATGGATCACTAAATAGTACTTTAGTAATTTCAACTTATTATCTTACTTATTCTGCACAGCATTACTCTTTGTTCATTGAGCAAACACTCCCTGGACGCTTAAAAATGATTAGAGATTAAGGGATGCAAAATTGAAAAAATTAAAGGTTTCAAGAAAGCACGCTTTTGTTTAGAAGAGGAAAAGTACCAGTAAATAAACATGATGAGATGCTCCCCCTGATGATAAAAGGAAGGCAAATTAGAAACAGTGTGATACCATTTTTCATTTCTTCGATTAACAAAGATTGGCATCACGTTTATGAGGATGCTGCGGAACCAGCATTCCCATACACTGTTGGTGGGAATACATATCAATGCTTCCTCTTTTGAGAGCAATTTGGCAATATGTATCAACATTTCCAATGTGCTTATATATCTTTGTGGGGGAGGGAGAAAATATTTGCAAATCATCTATCCCACAGTGGGTTTGTATACAGAATATATAGAGAACTCCTACAACTCAGAATAAAAAGATAATATTTTTAAATGAGCAACATATTTGAGTAGACATTTTACCAAAGAGACATATGAATAGGCTACAAGCACACATAAATGCACCCAGGGTGCCATGGTCAGTGGGGCTCGGTACATTGGAGAGTCCATCCGTCTGTATATGGCAGGTTCAATTCCCGGTCATGGAATATACCCAGGTTTCGGGTTTGACCCCCAGTGCCAGGGAGCAACCTATTGATGTTTCTCTCCCTCATTGATATATCTCTTCTCTTCTCTTCTCTTCCCTTCTCTTCTCTTCTCTTCTCTTCTCTTCTCTTCTCTCCTCTTTTCTCCTCTCCTCTCCTCTCTTCTCCTCTCCTCTCCTCTCCTCTTCTCTTCTCTCTCTCTCTCTTTCCCTCCCCCTCTTCCCTCACTCTAAAACAAACAAACAAAAACAACAAATAATAAATTTTAAAAATATGGCCAGCATGGGAAAATGCAAATAAATTTCCACAATGAGATACCACTACACAACTACTAGAATGGGTGTGATCAACAAGACAAGCAATACCAAGTATTGATGAGGATGAGAAGAAGAAGAAGAAGAAGAAGAAGAAGAAGAAGAAGAAGAAGAAGAAGAAGAAGAAGAAGAAGGAGGAGGAGGAGGAGGAGGAGGAGGAGGAGGAGGAGGGAGGAGGAGGAGGAGGAGGAAGAGGAGGAGGAGGAGGAGGAGGAGGAGGAGGAGGAAGAGGAAGAGGAGGAGAAGGAGAAGGAGAAGGAGAAGGAGAAGGAGAAGGAGAAGGAGAAGGAGAAGGAGAAGGAGAAGGAGAAGGAGAAGGAGAAGGAGAAGGAGAAGGAGAAGGAGAAGAAGAAGAAGAAGAAAAGAAAGAAAAGGAACCTGAAACCCTTATACATTTCTTGTTGGAATGCAAAATGCAGCAGCCACTTTGTATTTTGTTTGTTTGAATTTTATTTTATTTTTGTAAGAACACAATGGATCTGTCCTGTTAGTAGATTTTAAGTGTACAATAAATTATTGTTGAATAAAGATACAATGTACAGTATTATACAGCAGATTTCTTGAGTTTACTCATCTTGCTCTACTGAAACTTGTGCCCTTGATTAGTAATTCCCCATTTCCTCTTCCCCCTCAGCCCGTGCAACCACCATTTCACTCTTTGAGTCTATGAATTTGACTATTTTTAGATACTTCATATAACTAGAATTATGCAATATTTGTTTTTCTGTGACTGGCTCATTTCACTTAGCATAATGTCCTCAAGGTCCACTCATGTTGCAGCATACTGCAGAATTTCCTTCTTTTTTGAGGCTGAGTAGTATTCTAATGTATGCATGTACCATGTTTTCTCTACCCATTCACCTGTCAATGGGCATTGAGGTTGTCCCACATCTCGATTACGGGGAATAATGCTGCAATGAACATGGGGATGCTAATATTTCTTCACAGTGCTGGTTTCAGTTCTTTTGGATAAATGCCTAGAAGTGGGATTGCTGGATCATATTGTGATTCTATTTTAAATTTTTGGAGGAACCTCCATACTGTTTTCCAAAGCAGTGGCACCATTTTGCATTCCTGTCCAAAGTGTGCAAGGATTCCAATTTCTCCATAACCTCAGCCTGTCAGTTCCATTCCCGAAGGCAACTAATCCATGTTTCTCACACATCAGTATTTCTTTCTCTCTCCCTCGTTCTCTCTAAGTCCTCGGGTGAGGATTTTAATTAACTAACTAATTAATTAAAATAA